CCCGGGCGGGAGCCGGCCCGCTCGCGCTCCGGCCCGACGCCGCCTCTCCCTCACTTCACCTCTCCCGGACCCCGCGACCCCGGCCAGGCCGCCAGCGCCCTCCCCGCCGGCCGCAGCCGGGAAGTCCCTGGTCGCCTTGGCCGGCGGTGCTGCGAGATCTCGGCTCCCCCGGGCAGTTAACATTAGCTAGGACCCGAAACGGGTCACCAGAGTGATTTCTTGGCCCAGAGGCCTTTGTACGACTTGGCGCCCGGGGCCTGGCCGCGGGAGAGGTTCTGGCGCCCTCCGTCCCCTTGGTTACCCCCTTCCTAAAGGCTGGGTGGACCCAGTTAGGTCACCCGCTCAGCCATGCTGGCCCCCTTCCCCCTCCCCCCGCGGCCCCGGGAAAACCAGGGAGCGGTGCATGCCGGGACCTGTAGTTCCCCTCCCACCTCGCCCTCCCCCTCGTGAGTTGGGGCAAGGGGTGTGGGGCCGGGAGGAGGTGCTTTGCTGGGAGCCTCGGAGGAGCCTAGGGGAAGGGTCCAGCATCAGGGGGCAGGGCATCTTGATCTGGGTCGGGACGACTGATGGTGCTTCAGAGCAGGTTCTGCCGAGTACAGGATGGCGAAATCCTAGCTTGGATTTCATGTCTCCTCCTCATCTAGTGTTTCTCTTCACCCTGGCTTTCCACTCTTCCGTTCTACACGTGTGTGTGTGAGGCCTGGGCAAAGCTAGAGACCTCGGGGAGCCCTTATCTGGTCCAGAAACGCTCCTGGTTTTGCCCCAGATCTTGGCATCTTAAGCTGTTCTTCCAGTGGGCATGTGGCTTCCCCTAATCTCTCCAGCGCCCTGGTGGTTTCTACAAGGTTATTATTCCCAGAAGGGTCTTTTCCCCTTTTATCTTCCACTCTTTCCCCTTTGCCTTTCTACTCCTCGAGTCGTCTATGCATTCTGTTATGCAGGCTTACCCTTAGAAGGTAACCTCATACCTACCAGGTGACTCATGGAGTCTCCTTGTCACCTTTTATAAATGTTAAGAAGAGAAGCAGAGCTTGTTTAAGTTTCTGAGAAATGCTCCAGCCCTCAAATAAAAGACTTCACTAGCCTATCCGTCAGGAATGTTCGGGTCCCAAGTCAGAGTTCAGGGCCTGAGTGAGCGCCCCTGTGCTCATCAGTGACCTGATATTTTCTTCACCTCTTTTGGACTGCTGATATTCTGTTATTCATATTTATTTTTCTGTTACCCACAAACCAGACCCGGATCTGATGACCACTGGCACTTAGGAAGAATGAGGAAACCTAGCATAAGTGCTTCCCCCTTTGCTGCTGATGATAATCATCTTCAGTTTCCTACCAATTTAATTCTTCACCCATGATAGGGATGATTATCACTAGTTTATAAATAAGGTCTAGAAGAGTTTGACTTGCATAAGATCATACAGCAAAAACTTGAACTCGGGTCTTTTGTCTCTAGTTTTCAAACCAAGTCCTGTTGCACCTCAAGAAAGAGGGAGGGGGGTGGTCAGTGGGGGTGTCCGTTGGCGTCTAGCCAAACCTCATGTGGGAATCATTTGAGGCTTGGGCCCTTTGCTTCCAAGGAGACAGAGGGTCCCTCTGTGTTTCCATCAGAGGTGTGTAGGCAGCTTTGGTGCCTCTTCTGCCCCCACACCTGGGTCCTCACCTTCTCTGCCTTCCTCCCAGGTCGTCAAGCGAGAGGGCACGGGCACGGAGATGCCTATGATTGGGGACTGCGTCTTTGTCCACTACACTGGCTGGCTGTTAGATGGCACCAAGTTTGACTCCAGTCTGGACCGCAAGGACAAATTCTGTTTTGACCTGGGCAAAGGTAGGCGCATGGTTAGTGGGTCGGTAGCATCGGTTCTGTGGAGGGTATAAGCTGTCACAAGCAGAAGCCATACTCTCAGCAGTGTAAGGAGGAATGGTCTAGTTAGCTCTTTTTTCTTCTCTCCTGGAACCGTGTTGATCTCTATCTCACCTTCCCCGATCACCTCTGAACACCTCAGTTCCTCTTCGGGGGTGGATTGCCGTGTTTCTTGAACTCCTTTGTTCCAGAGTTGAGTGATTTTTTATTTTTATTTATTTATTTTTTTTTAAAGAGGTCTGAGACCTGGCCGTGCTTACTGCAACCAGGTTCTCTACCTCCCTGGTCTCATTTCTGAAGAGTGTATAGCTTCCCGATGGGCATGGTGTAATAAAGGTCTCTGGAGCCACTGTTTAAGCCCAGGGTCAGATCCCTGCCAAGGAGGACCTGTTTGCTTTCTGTACCTACAGGGGAGGTCATTAAGGCTTGGGACATTGCTGTAGCAACCATGAAGGTGGGAGAAGTGTGCCACATCACCTGCAAACCAGAGTATGCCTACGGTTCGGCAGGCAGCCCTCCAAAAATCCCCCCCAATGCCACGCTTGTGTTTGAGGTGAGTGTCCAGGCACAGAAAGCAAGGCAAAGAGCCAGTCTGATCTCAGCCCAGGGCCTGGCTGCCCTCCATCGCTTCCTGCCGCTTGGAGACAATGTAGCCAAGGCTAAGGGCCTGGCCAAAGGGGGAGGAAGGGGCCTGGAGAGGGCAGCTGGCTCTGCTACTGCCAGAAAATGGCCGCTGGTGGATATGCGGGGGAAAGAGTTGGCCACGGCCACAAACCCCTCCTCAGACTTGAAGCGGGGTAAGGGTTGAGGCATGTTTTATTTCAAGAGCTATGCCCGGAGATTGGTTATAATTTTGACTGAGAGGAGTCAGAAAGTCAGAATCTTTATAAACAACAGTATAGAATATCGGTGCTTTAGGGATCAAAGGAGAGGAGAGATGCCCCCCATGGGTCAAGGAGCTGAGGAAAGCCTTCACTGAGCGGTGGAACTTGACACCATTTGGTGTCAGAATGGCTGAGCCCTCCTTAGTGGATACTTGGAGAATGTTTGCGAGACTGTTGAAAGATGTTGGGTCCTTTCCACTGCCTACCAGATTGGCCTTCTGAGACGGCTGGATAAGGATTGGCTGGAGCGTGTCCTTCCTGGGTGGAGCAGGTAGTAAATAGATTGATCTCCTGAGGTCAACAAATTGTGTGCGACCTGCCCACCGCTACCAAAGTTGAGACTAGAGCTCCCAGAACTTACCAAAAGTGCTACTTTGTCCACTCTTGGTTTGGCTGTCCAGGTGCTCAGGCCAGGTCTGGCAGAGACCAGGGACTCTTCTGTGGACGGGCTAATGCTGAAAGGGGTCGTGTTGCCTTGCGTCTCGTCCCACAGGTGGAGTTGTTCGAGTTCAGGGGAGAGGACCTGACAGAAGAAGAAGATGGTGGGATCATCCGGAGAATACGGACTCGGGGTGAAGGCTATGCCAGGCCCAACGAGGGCGCCATCGTGGAGGGTGAGACCTCTCAGTCGGGGTTTCAATTCCGATTCTGGTACTTAGGCCCTCGGTGGCTCCTTTTCTGATCTGAGTATCTCGTCTGAGAAATGAGGGATGGGACCGTACCTTCCTAACATCCCTCCAGCTCTGAGAATACAACGAGGGCACCTTGGGGGCAGGCAGTGATGAGGTGATGGAGGGAGGCCGGTGGCCTCCCTCCTCAGCCCCCTGCCTGCTCACATCCCAGGCACGCTGCCTCTTTCTCCTGCTAGTTGGACTGCAAGGGTACTACAAGGACCAGATGTTTGACCGGCGGGAACTCCACTTTGAGGTTGGCGAGGGGGAGAGCCTGGACCTGCCTTGTGGGCTGGAGAAAGCCATTCAGCGCATGGAAAAAGGAGAACATTCTGTTGTGTACCTCAAGCCCAGGTGAGGAGTGGGCACTTTGTGGGATGGGTGCAGGCGGGTGACCCTGAGAGCTGCAGGTCCACAATGAGTTGTGTATCTAGCCTTTTTTATCTGTTCCTCTGTGTGTGCTCACCACCCCCACAGCCTCATTAGTGGTCCACGTGACTCTGGCACAGCAAACACGATCTCTTCGTATTTAGGAGCATGGTCACAACTGTCCACATCTGGAATCAAAGCCTGATCTTTTCAGTCATGGCTGCTCCAGATTTCCTCCTCTATCAATGTCAGAATTGGTGTCTGCTAGTAAACATACTCAGTCATTAATGGCATTTATTGAAACGCACCTATTACATGCCAGACACCGTGCTGAAAATTCCTAGGCGCTCATTATTCCCGCCTTGTAGGGACTCGTTCAGTGAGATTTAGTAATTAGTAAGTTAGTAATCATTCCAGTGTTGGTATGAGTTAGAAGGATATGGAAGGGGGCGCCTGGGTGGCTCGGTTGGTTAAGCGACTGCCTTCGGCTCAGGTCATGATCCCAGGGTCCTGGGATTCAGCCCTGCATCGGGCTCCCTGCTCAGAGGGGAGCCTGCTTCTCCCTCTCCCTCTGCCACTCCCCCTGCTTGTCCTTTCTCTCTCTCGCTCACTCCTTCTCTCAAATAAATAAATAAAATCTTTCTTTAAAAAAGATTCAACAATAAGAAAACAACAAATCTGATTTTAAAATGAGCCAAAAACCTTGACAGACACCTCACTGAAGATATACAGATGGCAAATCAGCATATGAAAAGATGCTTCACATCATAAGTCACAGGGAAAAGAAAATTAAAACAACAAGATAGCACTACATACCTACTAGAATGGCCAAAATCCAGAACACTGACAAAACCAAATGCTGGTTAGGATGTGGAGCACTAGGAAAGAGAGTTCCTATTTGTCACTGGGGGAATGCAAAACACCCACTTTGCAATCTAGTTTGGCAGTTTACAAAACTAAACATACTCTTATCATACAGTGATTTACCCAAAGGAGTTTAAAACATACAAAAACCTGTACATGGATGTTTATGACAGCTTTATTCAGTTATACAATAAACTGAATACTATTATTCAATAACAGTATCATTGCGAAAACTTGGAAGCAGCCAAGACGTCCTTCAGTAGTGAACAGATAAACAAGCTGTGGTACATCCATACAATGTAAAATTATTCAATACTAAAAAGAAATGAGCTATCAGCCATGAAAAGACATGGAAGAAATTAAATGCGTATTATTAAGTGAAAGAAGCCAATCTGAAAAGGCTACATACTTGTGTGATCCCAACTATAAGACATTCTGGAAAAGGCAAAACTATAGAGACAGTAAAAAGAGCAGTGGTTGCCAGGGAATATCAGGGGAGAGGGGGATGGACAGGCAGAACACAGAGGATTTTTTGGACAGTAAAACTACTCTGTAAGTTACTATAATGGTAAATACAAGTCATTACAAATTTGTCCAAATCTGTAGAATGTGCAAGCCCAAGAGTGAACCCTAGTGTAAACTATGAACTTTGATTGATAGTGACGTGTTGATGTACGTTCATTGATTGTAACAAACGTATTCCTCTGGTGAGGAGTGTTGATAACAGAGAGAGGCTACAATAATGGGTGTGAGGGTACAGGGTCTATGCGAAATCTCTGCGCCTCCTGCTCAGTTTTGCTTTGAACCTAAAACCGCTCTAAAAAGTAAAGTCTATTAAAGAAAATCACTAACCATAAAAAATACATTAGTAAATTAAACTTCATTAGAATTAACAGGGGTGCCTGGGTGGCTCAGTTGGTTGGGCGTCTGCCTTCGGCTCAGGTCATGGTCCCAGGGTCCTGGGATCAAGCCCCGCATCGGGCTCCCTGCTCGGCAGGAAGCCTGCTTCTCCCTTTCCTGCTCCCCCAGCTTGTGTTCCCTCTCTCGCTGTCTCTCTCTGTCAAATAAATTAAAAAAAAAAAAAAGAATTAACATATTCACCAAAACATACTATTAGGTGAGTGAAAAGGCATGCCACAGACCAAAAGATTATTGCGATATCTGTCAAAGCAAATCTTACCTAAAATATAGAAAGAAACACCAAAACTAGTAACAAAAAGATAGACAATGTAATCTTTTTAAATGGGCCAAAGATAAGAACAGGTACTTCACAAAGATTTGAATGAGCTATCCAGATGGCCAATAAGTATATGAAAAGGTATTTGACTTCATTAATTATCAAGGGAATACAAATTACATAGCACTACATCCCCCAGATAAGCTAAATTTGAAAGGACTGACGATACCACATTTTGGCAGGAATATGCAGGAACTGGAATTCTCAGACACTCTTGGTGGGAGTGTAACTTGATACCACGATTTCAGAAAATTGGCAGCATTACCAAAGCTAAGTATAAGAAAAACCCATGACCCAGCAATTCCATTTCTTAAGTACATACCCACCTGAAATGAGCACTTGTGTCTCTAAAAATCATGTATAAGAATGTTCATAGAATAGGGCGCCTGGGTGGCTCAGTCATTAAGCATCTGCCTTCAGCTTAAGTCATGATCCCAGGGTCCTGGGAGATCGAGTCCCACACTGGGCTCTCTGCTGACACCTTCTCTCTCTCCCTCTGCCTGCCACTCCCCCTGCTTGTGCTCTCTCTCAAATAAATTTTTAAAAAATCTTTAAAAAAAAAAAAGAATGTTCATAGAAGCTTCATAATAATAGCTCAAACCTGGAAACAACCCCTATATCATCAACAATGGAATGGATGAGAAAATTGTGATATAGTTATACATCAAATATTATGTAACAATGAAAGTTAATGAACTCCACCTACATACAATAAAATGGATGAATTTTACAGACATAATGTGGAATGAAGGAAGCCAGTCCAAAAAAAGTACATACTGTATGATTCGTTTTGAATGATGTTCAAACACAGAGGGAAATAATCTATTGTGGGGGCACCTGGGTGGCTCAGTCGTTAAGCGTGTGCCTTCGGCTCGGGTCATGATCCCGGGGTCCTGGGATCGATCCCCGCATCGGGCTCCCTGCTTGGTGGGAAGCCTGCTTCCCCCTCTCATACTCCCCCTACTTGGGTTCTTACCTAAAATATCGCTGTGTTTGTCTCTGTCGAATAAATAAATAAAATCTTAAAAAAAAAAAAAAGAAAGAATCTATTGTGATAGAAGTCAGAAGAGTGGTTCCTCCTGGAGATTATTATTGCCCCAGCGGGACACAAGGGAGGCTATTGGGGTGCTGAAATGTTCTACCTTGATGTGGGTGGTAGTTAGGTATATACATATACATGCAAGAGTTTATTAAGCTATACATTCACATCTTTTTAAAAAGTAAATACATATTGTTATCCATCTTTCAGAATACCTGGGTGGCTCAGTCAGTTAAGCGTCTGCCTTCTGCTCAAGTCATGATCCCAGGGTCCTGGGATGGAGCCCCGCATTGGGCTCCCTACTCTGCGGGAAGCCTGCTTCTCCCTCTCTCGCTCCCCCACTTGTGCTCTCCCTCCCTCTCTCTCTTTCTCTGACAAATAAGTAAAATCTTTTAAAAACAAAATATATTATTATCCACCTTTCAAGATCTTTCTCAAGTTCTAGCTCTTTCTGAGGCCTGCGCAGAATACTTTTCCCCTTACCAGATCTGGGCATTTTGCATTCTGAAACAGTGCCGCATCAGTCGGCCCTTAGTGTTGCTCTAACTTCTCTGTGTAAGCATCTCAAGGGTAGGATAATTCTGTCGTAGACTCTAGGCACCCCACAATCCCTACTGCTGACGCTGGAACCCAATACGTGCTCAGTAAATATCTTCACACCCACTGGCCATTTATAGGAAGCTTTGGTGGCAAGCATTAGTGGGCACCAGTCTTGAGGACGGGCTGAGGGATGTTCTCCACACCCTATCTTTCCTTCCCATGGGAAAGATAGGCTAGTTGGGATCAAGTAATTGACCAATGAAGGAGCAAACCAAGAACTCCTTTATAAAAGGATACCCTTCTCCCCAGAGGTGTATGAGGCTCTGTCTGGTCTATCCCAAAATCTGTGTGAGTATTCCCACCTCTGGCTAGGGCTTCATGAGGAAATTAAACCTGAGGAAGTAAGCCCAAGGAAATACCAGATAGTTCCCCTGCAGGTGGCTAGTTGTGGAGAGGTTAAAGGTCACCATGTGAAAGGTTAAAGACAGAGACGCTCTGAATACACATTTTGGATAAATGCTGAAGGAATAAATACTAAAGTCAGTATTTGACTAAACTAAAGCTATTACCAATATTGAATGAACTTCTGGAATATAAGAATAAATCCAAACTCTCATATAATGTTTTTATTATTACAATGTAAACATTTAAAAATGTTAGCAGACCCATTATAGGAGTTTGACCCTGTACTGAAGGAAAAATAATTTAATTTCTCAGTAATGACAGCTGCTGGGTTGCTCCTGTGGTTATTACAGTGCACATTTACAATATTAAATATACATTTACTTTCAACCAAGGACAATGGAGGACAAGATTTTATTTTTCTCAAACGACAATCCTCATTCTAGTTATGTTAATTAGACAGGATGACAACCTACACAAACACCTGATCTTTAATCACACTCAAGTTTGGGAAACTAGAAATAATGCCAAAGTAAGTATTTGCCTATATGATCCCCTGAAAAACAAGGCCAAAGCCAAATTTCAGTGCCTCCATAGATATAGAAGGATGAAGATTGGCTGCTATTTGTCACCCTAGGAGCAAAACAAAAAATATATATATTTATCTGTGGTAGAAAATTAGATTTTATGTTTAAAAAGAACAACAACTCTTTCACTTAGCAGGACAACCACTAAATATTCTGTCCTATCCCCAGAGAGATCAGATAATGGTAGAGCCCAAGGAAACATGAAGACCAAATCCTTATCTTCACAGGGCTCCCAGTCTTTTTGGAACGACAAAATGTCAGCACACAAAGATACCATAAGTTATATTAGATAGTCAGATTCCTAATTGTTAAAGAG